CAAGCTGTAGCATAGGAGGTTCAATCTGAACCTGAGTTAAAACTTTTTTACTGTGTTATGGAGCACTGGAACAAGCTTCCCAGAGAGGTTGTGGAGTCTCCTTCTCTGGAGACATTCAAAACCCACCTGGATGCGTTCCTGTGCAACCTAGTCTAGGTGATCCTGCTCTGGCAGGGGGGGTTGGACTGGATGATCTTTTGAGGTCCCTTCCAACTCCTAATATTCTGTGATTCTGTGATTCTGTGACTTGCTTCCCTCTTGCCCTACTTGATGAGATTAATAGTGCATTTGTCATTTCAAGAGATCCCTAAGGAAATATTCTGTAAAGTGTAGAAAAGTGAACCAAGCTCTTCCTTATCTGCAACAATTCAAATATAAAAGGAACTGCTAAGCTCTGCTGTTAAAATTGTCTTCAAGGTCTTGAGGAAAGGAATGTAATTAAACTGAACTCGATTAGTGCTCTTTTACCAATTCACCATCACCGAACGTGGCAAAGCCAAATGTGGGGCTTCAGTCTTGTGCCCTCCAGAAGACAAATGCTCAGTTATGTCCACCTGAAAACCTGTCATCACCTTCTCCCATGGGAGGCTGCTCCACAGCTAAGGGGTCTCATAGACAGGACAGTTCTCCTGGGAACTGGCTAAAATTTTCTTTCCATTTGTTGCCTCATGGACTGTATCTAGAATTATGATAATAATGGGTAGGATATTTTCCTTTTTGTCGAAATCACAGGTGCTTTCAGAAATCTATATATTTCAGGAATTTCTTTTCTTAGACAGATTGGTCGCTAAGCCACTCTTCTGAGATTTTTAGTATAGTTCTGTGGCTAGTTTCAGACAACAGGAAACAAATTCAACAGTGTACTTCACTAGATGACTATTTTATGAACTGCAGCATGAAATGAAATGTATTTCTCCATGCTAATAGTGAATTACCACTCTTCTTACTTTGTTTAAATAACCAACTTCCTGTAAAATTGCTTATGAAATACAGGGAAAAAAGCATATCGTATTTACCCTCTAGCATCTAAGACTGAAATATGAGAGTCACAGGTGCCTTGGCTGGCTTTTATATTGACACTCCTTTTTTTTCCCTCTCTTTCTCTCTTTGTTCAGTGGAAATCAACCTGACAAATGATTATCATGTTAGTGGAGGTGGCTTAGACACCGTATTCAAAGCGAGCAAGATCACTTTTCACTGGGGAAAATGCAACGTGTCATCAGATGGGTCAGAACACAGTTTAGAAGGACAAAAATTTCCTCTTGAGGTAAAGTATGGTATAGGTTTTGACAATGTTGATGATTTGACATTCTGTAAAAAGTAATACTGTTTACTACATAGCTTTGTTTATCACTTGATTAAATTCTATTTACAAATATAATCATTCACTGAAGTACAAATTAATAATATTTAAGTGATACATTTTTAAAAAGCAGCATAATTCATTATTCCATGGCATGTTGAGAATGTCTAAACTGCATTTTCGCACACATCTTCTCAGATGACATTAGAATTAGGTTCTGCTTATCTAACAGAGTTAAGCTAATAACTAACTAATAACAGTTAAGCTGTTAACTAACGGTTAAGCTCCTATGAGGTTGGCCCATCATATTCCACAGCAGTCTTTAAAGTTTAAAAGTTTAGAGTTTAAATGGACTTCTCAAAGCTGAGGCTTTGCTGAGAGCCCGTGGGAGCTGCTGGGCCTTACTGAGACAAAGCACATCCTGTGTCACTGGGCTGAAGAGAGAGCTGGCAGTGGTGTGCCAAAAACCCCCATGTGAGAGCAGGTCCTGGGTGCGGCCATGTTCATGGGAAGCCAGGCTGACTTTTTTGGCAGAATAGCTTGCAGCAGTATGGGAGTGGGGTGGAGTAGAGGAGCAGCTCATGCTGAGATCCACAAGGGCACTCTGCAGACCAAACTTTCAGAACTCAACAGGGCATTGTGATCATTTTCCAGATAAAAAGATGTAGCTGTGTCAGGCAACTGTGCTGCTCCTCACTCCAAGCACTTTGGGCTTCTGTGTCAGAGCAAAACAATAAAGCCAGGTTTATGCTATGTGCTGTGGAGAGCTGCAAGCCAGGAGCTTTCCCTGGGCAGTGCCATTTCCTTTACCTCATGAGCCATTTAAGTATTCCCACTTAAACTCCACCTATCCTGCAAAGGCATCAAAGAGAGTATTTTCCTCTGTCCTCATCACATGAAAAGCTAGTAAGAGTGGGACACTCCCCCATTCATGTTGGTAACCTGGCCCCAGAGGAGTTTTCCCAATTGCATCTGGAGAAAGAGAGAAACAAACCCAGTGCCCATGGCAGCAGTCACATGTGGGCACAAAATACCTGGTAATCTTTTCTTACCAATGCTTCTCTACACTTACTACAAGGCAGATGCAGTAGGGACATCCTACATTATTACTGATGGTTTACTACCGATTTCAAGATCCATCTTACCTAAGAACTCCTGGTTAGATGTCCAGTGTTAGGAAATTGCCTTGGCTAACTGTATTATCCATGGAGAACATTGTGCTGCTTAAAAGGGTAACTCCTGCATACTTAGAGAGGTCATTTTTAGATAGTGAACAGTTGATGAAATCCATTCTATATCTTCAGATAATGCATGTGACATAAATAAAAAAAATATGTATTTGTAATTAAATTTATTGCTTGGACATATTTTCTCAAAATGGGAATATAAACTCATTGATTTTAAAAAATTATTTATATATATAACATTTAAATATATCTTTATTTGCAGATGCAAATCTACTGCTATGATGCAGATCAGTTTACAAATTTTGAAGAGGCAATTAAAGGAAATGGAAAGTTAAGAGCTTTATCAATTTTGTTTGAGGTAATCAACATATATCTTTGTGTCATTAAACAAGCTTTGAAACACAGCAGATGTTCAAACTGAATTTAACTGGTTCCAGTGCTTGATCACTGAGTTAAAAATTTGCATATATCTTTCTAATTTATTCTTACAGAAAAGCAAATGGGCAAAATACATTTGCTCTGCTTTAATTCATCTATAATTTTGGTGGTAAACTGCAACTTTCAATTCTTTTGTAATGAAGCTTGTACTGTTAAAAAAATGCAATTTCTTTTTAACAGATTGGACTAGAAGATAATCCGGATTATAGTCCGATCATTAATGGCGTAGATAGTGTTAGTCGTTATGGTAAGTCTGCTTCCATGTTTTATTGATCACTGATTAGACTAAATTCCATTTCAGTGTAATTATGAAACCTTAAAGACATTGGGGAGCACAGTTCTCTAGAGCTCAGCCATGTCTGTTGTGTTAGAAACAACAGAAGTCATCTGGATAGACTAGAGAGCTGGGCAATCACCAACCATATGAAATTTAACAAGAGCAAGTGCCAGATTCTGCACCTGGGACAGGGTAAACCTGGCCATACATACAAACTGAGGGACAAGAGGCTGGAGAGCAGCACTGTGGAAAGAGATCTGGGGGTTTAGGTTGATGTCAAGTTAAATGTGAGTCAACAGTGTGGCAGCAAAGAAGGCAGTGTCCTGAGGTACATCAAGCATAACATAGCTGGGCAGTTAAGGAAAGTGATTGTCCCACTCTACACTGCATTGGTATAGCCCCATCTCGACTACTGTGTGCAGTTTTGGGTGCCTCAGTATAAGGACATCACACTATTAGAGTGTGTCCAGAGGAGGGCGACCAAGATGGTGAAAGGTCTCGAGGACAAGACTTATGGAGAGCAGCTGAGGTCACTTGGTTTGTTCAGCTTGGAGAAGAGAAGGCTGAAGAGTGACCTCATCGCAGTCTACAAATTCCTCAAGGTGGACAGCAGAGTGGGAGTTGCTGATCTCCTCTCTCTGAGCATACAAGGAAGTGGTATGAAGCTACATCAGGGATAGTTCAGATGGGACATTAGGAAAAGGTTCTTCATTGAGAAGGTAGTCAGTCACTGGAACAGGCTCCTCAGGGAAGGAACACCTGGAGCATTGGCACTAAACCTATGAGAGTTCAAGGAATGTCTGGGTGGTGCTCTCAGTCATATGGTTACGTTTTAAATAGTCCTGTGAGGAGCAGGGAGCTGGACTCGATGATCCTTATGGGTCCCTTCCAACTCGACATATTCTATAATTCTATGGTTTATTTACCGCAAGACAGTCTTTGTAACAACAGCGGTAAGTGTAAATGAATAAACATAACTGTCATGAGGAATTTGCAACTATTTAAATGCTAAATCAAGAGAAATGTCCAATTTATTCTGTGAGTTTTCTTAATCACACATTTGTGGATTTTTATATGTGTTTGGAAGCCAAATAATCCTGTTGCAGTGATCCAAGATGAGTTTTATGAGCGGGAAATGGTATAAATATCCGTATTCCGTAGACTCACTGGAGATTAATTATTTTTCCAGTAGCTCCTGTGTAAATCTGAAATAATCCTATTATATTTGTACTAGTGTTATTCAAACCGAATGTTGATACTTTGGTTTTTTAGAATTCCTCCTTGTTTTATGTCAGAGCATATGGACTTCACAGTGGTGCATGAGCAGATCTGCACTCAGTTTCTAACTCATTTTCATGATGGCTTTGCTGAAGAATAGGGATATTTTCTTACATCATGGCCATGACCTTAAGTAAACAGCTAACTTTGTCATAGTTTTTCTATGTGTAATGATACTTGCTCTTCGTAAAGCCTCTTAAGATCAATAGGCTGAGAGTGTAAAAATCTATTAGCCGACTGTTTTAAAAGCTTTCAAAAGCATGTCACTAAAATCAAGGTTGTTTTTCTCCAAACACCGTTCAACACATATAAAAGGGAGCAACTTTCCTAAATTACAAAGACAGTCGAGGGGGAAATATAAAGCAATTAAGATTCATTATCTTTGTGTGCCATCTTCTATGAAGCACGAAGGAGAACAAGTAATACATCAAAGCAGATACTGTCCTGCACCCTTGGAAGGAGCTGTAAAACTATCAGCAGCAAAATTCAAGATACAGCCATGACATGGCACTTCAACAATGAGGAGAATAGTATTTTCTTGAATAAAATGCAAATGAGCTCTGAAATTTCAGGTCATGACTAAATCAAGTTGTCCCTCCTGGAGAAAAGTGAATAGCACATGATCTGTCCTTGTCTGCAATGTACATGATCTGTCCTTGTCAGTCATTTCTGTATTGTGCTTATTTGAATCCCAGTTGCTGAGTTCTCAGGCTCTGCAGAGGAGCAGTCCTGTTCCTTCTGGACAAACGCTGTTTCTCATCATTTTTTGTGGGTGTTTGGTTTTAGAATCTAGGCTGCCAATCACATTAAAGCACATTTTAAAATCCAAAGTTCCAAAATGTATGGCAGGATTCTTGCTATAAATGAGAAGTTTCATATCCCCAAGCATTTATATATAACTGACTGACCATTCATTTTTACTGAAGGAAGAATGTGTTAACTAGACACATACCGGATAGCAGTGAATAGCAATGATAGCTTCTGTCTAAGCGGTTGATCAACACGTTGACAGCAGAAGTAGAAGGATGGGTTTTGCTCAACACTGCTAAATGTTCCCTTTTCATGATACATGGATAAGGGAGGGCTGGGGAGAGCATCTTTTAAACCTTAACCCAGTGGAACAGTCACTGTTCAGAAGGAAAGCATCAATGATTTGTAGTACTGTTGATGTAATTTGCTGCTCTCACCAAATTTATAAGGAATTATGAAGACAAAGACAGGTCAGAAATCTGTACAGGGCTCAAGAAGTAACATCTGTAAAACCAAAAGTTAATGCACAGTATGAAAACTCATTATATATTCACAAGTGAATACTTATCAAATGGGAAGAAATTTAAAATCAGTAACTTTGGATTGAAACAAGGTATATAAGGATCTTCATTATTCCAGGGTGTAAAAAACAAGTATTATTTTGGATGCATCAGACAGTAAGGCAGATAATTGTCAGAGAGTGAAAAAAATCTGCCTTGAGGAAGTTGGTATAATTTCTTCCGATTTCTGTTGCTGGACCCTGCCACCATACCAGCACAAACATAGCTTTCTGTGAACAGACTCCCAGCAATGCCTCATGCATGCTCCCAGCTGACAAGGTACCAGGTAAACTGCTGACCTGAAAGCTGTGATACTATTTTCACAGAACAATAAACAGAGTGGTCACACTCTTCTGGAGGAGGTCTTTGCATCTTTCTCTGCTTTGTGTAAAGCTGTTGCAGACTTTCACTGTATTGCCATTTTAAAAATGGCTATAATAAAAATTCCACAGAAATTTTGCTTCTGTCATCGTGAATAATACAACTTTCAGGTCTAACATGGTGATAGTTCCCCAGGCTGTGATTTTCTGCAGAGGTTAAGATCCTGTGAGAAATTCAGTAAATTGACCAAGTTCAGGGAAGCCATGTCATGAGACCAAAACAGGAGACATAGTTTTTCTTTGAACTTCACATGTGAGACAAAGATTTGGCATCTTGGACATTTATGAGTAAACTTACAGGTGAAAAAATTCTTGTGAACCAATGCATCAATCACTTTTTTTACTACTGGAGTAACTCATTACACCTTCCCAAGTAAACAAAGTTTTTATTGAACAATACTTACTCAAACTAAGTAGAAAAGACTCAGCAATCTATTTGTATGCTAGTCTCTCTGGAGATCAAATTTTGAGTATTCTCAAAATTAGCATGTTCCTATAATGCTAACTCTTTTGGAGAGTGTTACTTCTATTTATTCATTGCTTCTGCAGTATTTTAACTATCTGACTTTAAAAATATTTTTTTTCCAGGAAAACAGGCTGCCTTAGAACCATTTATTTTGCTGAACCTTTTGCCGAATGCAACAGACAAATATTACACTTATAATGGGTCTTTATCAACTCCTCCTTGCTCTGAAACAGTCGAATGGATTGTGTTTAAAGATACCATTAGTATTTCTGAAGACCAGGTAATTCATTTAATGTATTAGAAGCAAACAATTGTACATAATACCAAGGAAAAATGGTTGCCAAGTATATGGTAAAATCTCATGACATTCATTGCCAGCGCAATCACCTGGCTTTTCTTTTATCTGATTTTAGATTTTTCATGTAGCCATTAAATTAGAAAGCATAAGTATTACTTGAATGTGTTATCCTTTCCCTTTTTTAGTTCAGGACTAGATTCTGAGTCATTTCTTGTCTTACAAGGAAGTAAGAACACACTTCCTAACTCTGCAGGCTGTCTGGACTCGTAGCTCGGTTAAAGAGGAGTGCAAACCATTCTTGCCATATTTCCCAGCTAAATGGTGGTGGCTGGGCAGGGCATAGCTCCAACATCAAAGTTGTTGAGAAACACAGCTGGAGTAAACCAGGAACAAAAGCTCAGTGCCCCCTGGGAGACTTTACCCAACATCTTTTCCCCTGGGTTTTTGCCTATTAGCAGAATCTGCTTATTTTGTTATGACTTCTGACTTATTTTTTCCTCGCCTCTTCTAGTTAGCTGTATTCTGTGAAGTCCTTACAATGCAGCAGTCTGGCTATGTTATGCTGATGGACTACCTGCAAAACAACTTTCGAGAGCAGCAATATAAGTTCTTTGGGCAAGTGTTTTCCTCTTACACTGGACAAGAAGAAATTCATGAAGCAGGTATTTACTGAACAGTCATTCCTCTCTTCACAGGTTGAAAGACAATTGTCAGTAAAAGATTCATCTTTTTTTTCTACACAATTCAGTAAATTGTGTAGAAAATAGCATGCTGTATTATTACTCATAAATCTATCACTCCAGAGAAAAACACTAGCAATCATAAAACATGTCTGATTAAATGGAGTGGAAAATTAAATGCTTGTCTTGACCAAACGTTCAGGGAAGATCACATCAGTTCAAGCTTTCTTGCACTGCCCTTTTAATGTGTTTCAGATATAAACAAAGCTGCCTTTTCAAGGGCTGCAAGAGGTTTTGTTTTACAAACCCATTTGGCTCTTTGTTGTGTAATGCGGATCCTTTTCCAACAGAGGCTGAAGTGAGGTCACCAAATTCATTTCAGTAGTCTGCTGAGAAAGTGATAGATGGAGAGAATCCCAGAAGCCGGATTCTGTTCTCTGTTTTACCCAGAACCGCAGAGAAGTTTTTGAAGGTTATATGACCGAAACAGTACTTTATGTAATGGGAAACAAGATCTAGCACTAAATATGGAAATCTATGATTTCTATACTCACAAGTACAGAAGAATAAACAGTAAACATCTACTTTGGGAGCATTATGTTGCTACTTGGATGAGGATACCTGTAGATTCTTAAACTCAGTTGCACTGAGTTGTGCTTAATTAGACACAGAGGGATGACTGAAGCATGGGGTTCTCCAGATTAGAAAGAAATGTGGTCTCATTTTAATTAGCCTTGTTTGGGTGATATTTTTTTTTCCTACTGGAAGGATCTTGTGTATCAAGCTAGCGAATGTTCATCATTCAACTGCCCAAGGGCTGGGTCCCCTGCACAAGTGCATCACACTGCTTTGCCACAGTGCTGCACAGGATAGCCTTGCTGCTTCATTTCTATAACTACAATAACACTTCTGTTTTGACCTGACCTTGTCATGGACTCCTCAGATGTGTGCCCAGGATATGTATTTTTTTTGCACTGGTCTAAGCCAAAAAATATCTTGGCAGGGTTTTTTGTTTGTTTGGGTACTAAGTAGCATTTGAAATTTAGAAGCTTGGAGAAGGAGTATAGAATTGAGCTGCAGCAATCAAGCATATCACAACTGAGTAAATATCTGTTTCCAAATGGATTTACCAGGTCACGGTTGATTTGGCCTAACTTAAACAAAATAATCCTTCCCCAGATCCCTCCGTTTAATGAAGGTCACTAGGAGACAGGTCACTGTAATACAGACCACCTTTTCTAATGTCCAAGTTGTCAGAAGAAAATTTAAAAAAATGTCATAGGCAAAGGACCTTTGAAGATAGATACCAGGACTACTTCTGCCATCTGCAATCCACTTGCCTCCCTGCTGGTTGCACTATAGCTGCAATCTTGTCCTTGACCCTTCGGCTGGGTCACTGCAATAGAAGGAAGCTACTTTCAGCTGTGCCATCCTAATCTGGATTTCCACAGAGACTGACATGAAGAAAAGCTGAATACTACTGTTTAAGACAGGCCCCTGCTTCCTTCTGTCCACTCCAAGTGCTGGCACTTGAAGGAGCATTCCATGTGCTGTCCAAAGCAGTGTGTGTGTTAAAACTGCATAGGAGGTTGCTTCCAACCAGTCCCATTTCTGCACTATATCAAAGAGAGATTCTGTGAATTTTCTATCTTACCTGTGAGTTTGGTATCCATACAAATTAGTAAAGAGTGTCTAGCCTAAAGATATTAGGATCCTTTTCTGCATTGAGTTACACTATTTAAAACTAAAAGGCCTTTCTGCTTCATGTAATCCAAAATTTCTGTGTGACAAAATTTCTGTAGAATTGTATAATACCAAACAAATAGATGTCAGTCTACCAAGTTTAAGACAGAAGTGTCCTGCACTCACATTACTGTGGCAGCAAACACATGTAGTTTTTATTCCAAACTAGGTATTTAAAGTAACAAATTGTAGCTTAAAATATTTGGTTTGGCCATAAACAAGATGGGACAGAAAGAGTTGACTAAAATTTCAAGTCTTCCTGTGTATGTATTTCACATTTCTGTTAATATTTATGTGCACTATGTAAATGCAACATCACATACACATACATGTTTATGTATGGACACATGCATATGTATACATACAAACGCAATTATAGGATTTGTTTAATGTGGAACATTAAAGCAGTATTTATGTTTTCATCTTCATTTTAAGAGGAGGTAAAAAAGAAGGTAAATAAAAAGCTCTAGGAATCATTAAACTTAAATGTTGAGATGTAAAAACTGTAACATGAATGCCTAAGTCCCCAGAGTAAATAGGCTTTTGTATTTCATATTAATATTGAAAAGTTCTTGTAGTCAACAGGGAAAAATAATCTGTGAAATCCCTTTAGATGATTAAGAGAAATGACAAGAGTAGGCCTTACTCAAATAGATAATTGAAAAATTATTATGTATTTTGAAACCTAGAATCCAAATTTCTCCTGTTAGATTCAGTGTAGACTCTCATTAAGCAGTAGGATTAAGCACTTGATTTATTGCTTTTATTAATACATGGCATTTCTTAAGTAGAGCTAAGTTTCCTTAGAAGGACTAAGAGAGTCTTTCTATTCAATTATAAACTAATTTCAGCAAAATATTGTCAGATATTTTCACCCAGTGACAACCTCAACATTCTAGGTGTACAAGCACTGCCCTACTGGTACATAGGCGATATTTAAGCCTGCCTAGTGATATACATAATTTTCCTCTGTGATATGTATCTATGCATGTATGTGTGTATGTATTTAAGAAGAAGATTAAAATTGCTAATCCTTACAGCTAGACTTGAGGGTTCACCTCAAAAAGCTTTTTGAAATTGTAATGCTTTATCTCCACCAACCAGCTGGCATGAAAATCCATTCATAATAGACATCATTGTTTATTCCTATAAACCTGAGAACCATCATGGTAGCTACTGGGCCCATTACAAAACTTCCCATCCACTCCACTCTTCTAGTAATGCCCTGTGAGTAAATGCAGAAACACAATTCCCGTTATTCTTCCTGGATTTAGTAAAGGTATAAAAACCGAGTTTTTACTATTCAAGACTGACAATATATATTGGTGAAAAATGTTTGTCAACCTGTTTTACTATGAAAAATACAACTGTGTAGTTATTTTAGGTAAATTCTTTTGCAAGACCAGGGTAAGGACTCAAGTCTTTACCTTTTAACGTACCGCAGACGACATCAATTGGCTACAACCATTCTCAGATTCTCTCAAGACATTTCCTCTTGTGTGAGATACTTTATACTGACACAATGTGCTGGGTGCAGGTGCCCAGGTGTTGGTAACAGGGGAGCTGCAGGGCAGCCTCTGTGAGGAGAGGCCGAGGCTGTCCAGTGCTGGACACAACTGGTTCCAGCTGGCTCCAACCAGCAGGATCTGTGACCCTCCATGGGAGACACACTACTGTCTTTTCCTGAAGGACTGTACCCCAGGGAAAGGACCCTTGGTGGAGAGGTTTGTTTAGGACTGTATCCCATGAATGGGACCCCACACTGGTGCAGAGGAACATCATGAGGAGGAAGGAGCAGCAGAGAGAAAGTGTTATGAACTGACCACAACCTCCATTCCCCATCCCACTGTGCCACTTGGGGTGGGGAAGTGGAAGAGTCAGGAGTGAAGCTGAACCTGGGAAGAAGTGAAGGTTGGGATGAAGGTGGTTTTAGTTTTGGTTTTGTTTCTCACTGTCCCACTCTGTTTTAATTGGTGATAAATTAAATTAATTTCCCCAAATTGAGTCTGTTTTGCCCATGACGGTGATGGGTGTGCAGTCTTCCTGTGTTTATCTTGACCCACAAGCTTTTTAATTTTATTTTCTTCCTTGTCCTGTTGAGGAGGAGGGTGAGAGAGCAGCTGGGTGAGCCAGCCAAGGTCAACCCAGCACACATTTCTACTGTGCTGCTTCACCTCCAGCACAAAGATAGAGTAGACGATGAATATAGAAGAAGTGCTTTTTGCCACACACTGTGTCAGGAAGCTGAAAAGTCCTTGATTGTCTTAATCTAAATGAAGTGATTTCACAGCTTCCACAATTGAAAATCTGGACTTAAAAGATAAAAATCTCAAGCCCAGGTTCAACTAAAAGTAGAAGAAAGCAACAAATGTGAAAAAAATCTCTGAGTTATCCAGTGCTGCCTCAGAACTATGCCTGGTTTTATTCCGACTGTGTCAGGCTCAGAGAAGTTTAAATCCAGGCATATATATATTTGTGTGTGTGTATATGTATATGTATATGTATATGTATATGTATATGTATATGTATATGTATATGTATATGTATATGTATATAAATAAAGCAAATTTGGGCAGCTTATAAAGATCTTTTTGTCAAAAACTCAGCCCAAATAGATTCTGACAGTTATTTGGCTAATGTACCTTGGTGCTCCCCAGTGATGCAGTTCGGTTTAGATTAAAAACTTCTAGGTTATATGCATAGCATTTTATTCTACAGAAGAATAAGCAAAGATAGGTGCATTATCATGATCTGATATGCAAAACCAGCATCTGAGTACTCACCTGGGAAAAGCAGAGACCTGAATTCAAGCCCAGCAGGGGCTTAAATAGGTCTCTGACTTGCTGTAAATAGTGTTCTGCTGCTTGAGATTTGTAATCCCGTTGAATATCAGTGACTTCAGACTCAAGAACTCCCTTTCTTGAAGTCTCTTTGCCCAGAATTTCAAAGTCCATATCAGAGCAGAAGTCTTTAATTGGGTAAGTTGATATGTGATCTCCTCACTTTTCCCAGTCTCCGAAGAGGGAAAATGGGGAAAGGTAGGAGCAAAGTACCTCTGTGTTACCAAGGCTGGCAGGAAAGGGAAGGAAACAGCACAGGCAGTATGGCTGATGAAGAGGCATCAGAAGAAGGGCAAGAGACAACAGCTTTGGAAGGAATTGGCATGAAATAATATGCTGTAGACAGAATACTGTCGTGTTGTAATATTGTTGGCCACTGCTGAGATGAACAGGATCGAGCATCAAAAGGAGAACAAACAGGAAGAGAACTTTTTTCTTGAAAAAAAAAATAGTTGGAATAACCATAAAAGAGAGTGAAACTAAAAGCAATTTGAGACACAAAACTTCTACCTTTAAAAGTTTTATAATATTACTCCATTAATTTGAATACAGTCAGAGATTTCAGAACCAAATTCACTCACAAAGAGGAAGGGAGGAAAAAGAGCAGCAGAGAAGAGTTTGGATAGGGAGAAGCTTAGTATTTATACTATGAAAAGGCATTTTGAGAGTTATTTTAAACACCTTCAATAAGAAATAGCTGAAGACTATTTTGATGCCTAAAAGAAAAATCTGAGTTTAAGTCATCTGCCTTGAGGCTTAGAATTGAGGAGGATATCGTATTTGCTGGTCTAATGATTTCCTTTTGCCATCTAGTGGAAATGGGGTGGAATGACGAGTTTTAGAAATGGAATGGAATGGAATGGAATGGAATGGAATGGAATGTGCACAGCTTGAGATTTTTTTTAAATTTGCTCTTCATCTACATCAATTAAAATTCAGTACAATGAATAAAATGGCATGTCAGATACATAGCACAGTAGATTTAAAGTCGAGCAAGCTGCAGAATTCAGCTAACTTACAAAAATACTGCCTCTACCATTAGCTTACACACACATAGTAAAAAAAAGAAATAATAAAAATCACTGTTTGTTTTCCATTGACCAGTTCAGACCGGAGCCGCTCGAAACTGCCCACCTGTATACAGAACGGAAGAAATTGAGTTTTTCAAACTATTGGCATTTGGGTGCCCTCCTGTGTTCCAGTGGCAAATTGCAAAGTTAATGGAAATTTTTTTTCCTTTCTTTCAAAAATGCAGTGTTGTACACCAAAAGTGTTGTAGAATCATGGTGTTTGCTTCCTTTAAGAGAACTCCATTCTTTAGTGCTGAGTCTGAAGACACGGTTCCCCACACGAGCAGAGGGGATGATGAGAGCAAGGAAGGAGGATGAGGTCTCAGCCCAAACCTAAGCCAGCCATGAATGAAGTGACTGTATATGCTGTTGCTTTATCTTTTTCTGTATTACAATTTACTGGTCATTTTTCAGTGAGCTTCAGCTAGATAATTTACATTTTCCACTAATATAAATTTTTCATGCATATTAATCTACCTTTGACTTTGTATATTACGTTTAAGCTACACACAGGTGCTTGGGCAATTAAAAACAAAAAACAAAAAAAAACAAACAAAAAAAAACCACACACAGAAACAAATGGCAGAGTCTCAGTACATTTCTAACATACTGGTAATCCATACATCTACGTAAAGATGTATGGAAAGTATCAAAAGTTTCAGACTACTTGAATAAGATGAAAAGAGTATTGGAGGGGAAAGGTTAGGAGACGTGCAGAAGTAGCTGCCTGACCAGGCTTCTTCTGGAGCACAGGTTCAGGCTCACATGGAAGGTGGGCATGGGCCAGGCCCAGGACTGCAACAGTCTCATCAGACTTCTTCAGCAGATGTCCAAATGGTACGTTGAAATACAATAACATGAAATCACTACCAGCTAACCTCACCATTTCTTAGCCTCTCCCTGTTTGCTTTTTGTCTCTTCTTTAGGTACTACAAAAAGTTTCAAAAATAAATTTAATAAATATAATATTCTTTCCTTTTTCTTCCAGTTTGCAGCTCAGAACCTGAAAATGTTCAGTCTGATCCAAAGAATTATACTAGTCTCCTTGTTACATGGGAAAGACCTCGGGTTGTGTATGACACCACAATTGAGAGATTTGCTGTCTTTTATCAACAGTTGGATGGGGAAGACCAGACTAAGCACGAGTTTCTGACAGATGGGTATCAGGACTTGGTAACTGTAAACTCTTCAAGTTTCATACAAAGGGGTGATGTTAAAACACTCACTGTTAATTATCTTAAGGGATTAAACAGTAGCTAGGAGCTGATTCAATAAAAAAATTTACTCCTTTCACTGGAGCTCACAGAAGCTGTTCTTCATTTTTTGACTGTGAAGCCACAAAGACAATTAAAAACCAAACCAAATGAAAACAAAACCAAACCAAAACAAGCCTCCCTTGCCCAGAAAAAAAGAAAGCTTTCTCAGACTGGTGTTCTAATTTGTCTATACTATCCCCAAAAGTTTATGAACATATCAGTTTCAGAGCTCCTTAGCCATAAAACTCGACTTTAGTCAATTAATAGTGATCTGTACTTCATTGCTCACTGATGTGCAAAGAATGACCTACACAAGCAACTAAGATTCAGTACAATCATTCTGTTGTAAATATTGAGTTACAGCTTCATGGTATTTTGCTAATGGGATCTAGTTTCTTTTACCCTCTTAAAAAGCTTATACTTTATCAGAGATAATCTTACATAAACTAGTGTTTGGCATTAAATAATTATATAGTTTGGTATCCTCCATGTAAAAATTCACAAGAATTTTTAAAAGCTGACTGAAAAACATATGTAACAATAAAATATAAAAAAGCATACATAAGAGTCCTAGAAGAAAGAAGCTTTATGGTTCATATGAAAAATGTTTTATGAAAACATTAACGTTTCCAAATATTTGGTATTTATTTGCAAGTAAATGATTAAACATGGTTTTTCTTTTAGGGAGCTATTCTAAATAATCTGCTGCCCAATACAAGCTATGTTCTTCAGATAGTTGCTGTTTGCTCTAATGGTCTATATGGAAAATACAGTGACCAAGTCATAGTTGATATGCCTTTAGAGGATGCAGGTAAGTGGTCTTTTGAGCTTAGTGAACACTTTTAGCTGAAAATCTGTATTTGAAGAAATAGTTTGTTTGCAAACCAGTTAAAATGCGTGACTATCAAATATGCTAAAATGAAATTTCAAAATCACTCCAGTTAACCTTCAGCATGTTCTTTGCTACTGATATTTTACATTATATAATTCTTCATTCCTTGTAAACATTACTTATGAAAGACTGCATGTTAATTTTTTTTAACTCTAAAAATATTCTGAAAAACACCTACCTGATTTCAAATCTCACAAGTGTTTCTTTTAGCAATATAATG